GAGGCAGGCCTGAGGGTGACAGGCCCTACAGATAGCCAGCGAAACTGTTCCAGGCACACTGAGAACTGTGCAAGGGCCCCAGGCAGTAAGTGTGGCACACAATGTGGAGGCCAGTGTGTCCAGAGCAGAGGGAAGAGAGAGCATGGAGATGCTGTCAAAAAGAGAAATGGAAGAGGAGGACAAGATGACTTAGCCTTGAGATGCTGGGGCAAGAGGATTGCCAAGTTGAGGCCACTACTCAGAGCTACAAAGGTAGACCCAAACCCACTCACATAGGGCCTACCCATTAGTGATGTCTCAAGTCTGTCATCCAAGACACAACCATAAAGTTGAGGACAGCTGGACCATTCCGTGAGCTCAGGAACAGCCTGAGTTACATAGTAAAATCCTGTCAGAAAAAAATCATGTGAAGGTTGGGAGAGCCCCTGCCTAGAATCCCCCAGAGAGAGGTTGGGGGTGTGGCTCAGTGGTAGAGCCCCTGCCTAGAATCCCCAGTGAGGGGCTGGGGCGTGGCTCAGTGGTAGAACCCCTGCCTAGAATCCCCCAGTGAGGGGCTGAGGTGTGGCTCAGTGGTAGAGCCCCTGCCTAGAATCTCCCAGTGAGGGGCTGGGGCGTGGCTCAGTGGTAGAACCCCTGCCTAGAATGCCCCAAAGAGGGGCTGGGCATGGCTCAGTGGTAGAGCCCCTGCCTAGAATGCCCCGAAGAGGGGCTGGGGCATGGCTCAGTGGTAGAGCCCCTGCCTAGCAGGTAGAAGGGTTTTGTCCCTTGCAGCACTTTAACCCAAACACTGTCTGGCTTTTTAATAATTCACACAGGGCCTGTCATTAACTGAGTTTGGAGGGGAAGGCATATCTGAAAACGTTGCTCTGACTTCAATGTGAGGTTCTGACAGGGCAGCCGGAAGCCGGAGAACCTGGGGGCGGGGGTGAGGTGGAATGATGCCCGAGGGAGCCAGTTCAGGATGTCCCAGGGTGGTTAAAACTGACTGAAAGCATCCACACAGCACTTTGAACAGTCCACAGTGGCCAGCCCCTAACCCCAGCGATTGCTCCCGTGTCCCCTCAGGCCTCTTCACATCGCCGTGGTTCAGAGAAACATGGACATTTTCTACCGGTTGCTCGCCCTCTTCAAGATCGGGTGCCGGGGAGTTGACGTGCACAACAACCTTCGGCAGGTGAGCTGGGCTGCGGGCCTGCGGCTGACGGAGGGGGCCCAGCGGGGACACTCGGGGAGCCAGCCCCCAGGCCCGGGGAGGAGCCAGGCCCCAGGCCCCGGGAGGAGCAGGCGATGGAGCTGGGCACGGCGCTCTGAGTCTGTCCTCCAGCGCTCGGACCGCTGCAGGGGAACCGATAGAGAGCCTGAGGCCAGTCTGGCCTCCTGCAAGGTACTTTAGAAAGGTGTGTGGGCAGGAAGGCGTCTTGGCAGGCTCAGGCGCCTGCCACCAAGCCTGGCAGTCGGAGTTGGAAAACTCACGTCCCCAAGTTGTCCTCTGACCTCCACAAGCGCGCAAAGTAAATAAATGTCTCAAAGCAAAGCAGCCCACTCCGTCAGGTCCAGCAGTTGGGAGGTGGAGGCGGAAACATCAGGAATTCCAAGTCATCCGCTGTCTGCCGCGAAGCAGGTCTGGGGTCAAGGTGCGCCCCTTGACACCCTGTCTCACAACATCCCCCACACCCCGCCCTGAGAAAGCTCCGCCGCTCACACTTCCGGGGAAGACACAGGGGTCTCCTGAGTAGGGAGAGAGGTCGGATACGCTCCTCCCTAGACTCGGAAACCCCACGAGTGCGACCCCTCCCTCGGCTGTTCCCTAGACCCCGCTTCACCTGGCCGTGATCACCGGGCTACCGGACATGGTTCGGCTCCTGGTGATCGCCGGTGCCAGCCCCATGGCCCTGGACCGGCACGGCCAGACCGCAGCCCACCTGGCGAGCGAGCACGGCCACCCCGAGCACCTGCAGGCGCTGCTGGACAGCGCGGCCCCGGGCTCCGTGGACCTGGAGGCTCGCAATTACGAAGGTGAGCCCCGGAGGGCGCGGGGGAGGCCGGCGGCGCCCGAGCCCGGGCCGAGGCCTGACCGCGCCCCGCCCCCTCTCCTCAGGGCTCACTGCCCTGCACGTGGCCGTGAACGCCGGCTGCCAGGACGCCGTCCAGCTGCTCCTGGAGCGCGGCGCCGACATCGACGCCGTGGTGAGCCGACGGGCGGGGGGCGGGGGCGGCGCGGGGGCGGGGCCGGCGGAGGCCCGGGGCGGCCGAGGGTTCCCGACTCTCCCGAGGCTGGGCCGGAGGAAGGGATGCTCAGGAGGCTGGGCCGGAGGAAGGGATGCTCAGGGCCTGCGGAAGGAGCTGAGGCGCCTGTGTTCCCGCAGGATATCAAGAGCGGCCGCTCCCCCCTCATCCACGCCGTGGAGAACAACAGCCTGAGCATGGTGCAGCTGCTGCTGGTGGTTCGTACCCGCCTTTGGCTTCTCCCACCCCCATTCTCCCCAGGGACCCCATTTTCCAATTCAGACCCTGCTTGCTCTTCTGCCCTGCCTCGAACTCTTCAGCATCTTATTTGCAAATTCAAGTTTCTTTCTTTCTTTTCTGGCGTTCTTTTATTTTTTACTTTATTTTATTTTAGAAGGGGCCTCACTGTGTAGAATTGGCTAGCTTGCAGCTCACTTGGTAGACCAGGCCAGCCTGGAATGCAGAGATCTGCTTGCCTCTGCCTCCCAAGTGCTGGGATCAGAAGGTGTGCGCTGGAGCCACCCCCTTTCTTCCTTGCTTTTTTGTTGTTCATAGGTGTTTTCCCTGCATGTAAGTCTGTGCACCAGGTGCCTTCAGAGTTCCCTGAGATCAAAATGTGGCATCGGATCCCCTAGACCTGGAGACACAGACGGTTGTCTGTATGTGCTGGGACTCAAACCCTGTCCTCTGGAAGATCAACCAGAGCTCTTAACCAATGAACCGTCTCTCCAGCCCTTAAGTTTATTAAGCTTTTGTTTTTGTTTTTGGGGGGCGGTTGGTTGGTTTTGTTTTTTGTTTTGTTTTGTTTTGAGACAGGGTCTCACTACATGGACCAGGTTGGCCTTGAACTCAGAGATCTTTCCGTCTCTGCTTCCTGGGGTTAAAGCATACCTGGCCTCCTTTTAAATTTTTTTAAAATCAGATTTGGTTGGCTATATTGTGGAGGTCAGAGGACAGCGCGTGGGAACAGTTCTCCCTTCCACAATGTGGAGTCCTGGGGATGGAACCCAGGTCAGTCTTGACAGCAAGCACCTGAGCCATCTCATCAGGGCAATGGCTGCTTTTCAAATCTGTTGCTTCGCTTCCTGGCCCGCCGAGTTGTACGTTCCTCCACTGACACTCAGCCTCGGCCTCACCCTGGGGTGGCAGTGCGAGCCCCGCTTCTGGCTTTCACCTTGCCCGGTCCTGCTCTCATTCCACCTGCTGTACGAGTCAGCAGGACTTCCCCGTAACTCCTCCCTTACATAACCAGGCCACAGCCTCTTCTAGAGAGTAGCTTTCCTCCTTGGAGTCTTCATGTAGCCGAGGCTGGACTTGAACTCACGTCGTAGCTCCCATCAGCCTTGAACTCCTGGTCTTCATGCATGCATTCTCCAAGTGCTAGGATTACAGGCCTGTGTCATCTTTGATCCCAGCCGTGGGGGTCACCGGTGTGAGCCCCAGTTGTCATCTGTCCCCTTCCCTGAGCTGACCCAAGCCAAACCCAGGCCCACGTGGCTCCTGACTCGAATGCCCCCTCCCACAGCACGGAGCCAACGTGAACGCTCAGATGTACTCGGGCAGCTCGGCTCTGCATTCAGCTTCTGGCCGCGGACTCCTGCCTCTGGTGCGAATGCTGGTGCGCAGCGGGGCTGACAGCGGCCTCAAAAACTGTCACAATGACACGCCCCTCATGGTAGCGCGCAGCCGCAGGGTGAGTGCTGGGGGGTGGGGGCTAGGGAGGAGCATAAGCTTAGGCAGGCGAGGGAACAAAAATGCCTGAAAGGGAGTGGGGGGGAAACTGAGTCACACGTCAAAGGAAGGGCCTGCACATCCTCACTTGGACACCTCGGTCAAGGGAGGAGAGGGAGGGAGAGAGAATGAATAAAGGCTGTGATGGCCGTGGGTGATCCTCCTTTTCCCACAGGTCATTGATATCCTAAGGGGGAAGGCCTCTCGGGCCGCCTCAGGGTCACAGCCCGAGCCATCCCCGGACCAAAGCGCCACCACGTCCCCGGAGAGCACCAGCCGTCTCAGCGCCAACGGTGAGAGTGCCCTGAGGCCTTCGGGACCCGGAGCCAGCTCAGCGGGCCTCTCCTCTAACCCTGGTCTCTCTCCTCCGCAGGCCTCCTGTCCACGCCAAGCTCCTCACCCTCGCTGTCTCCCCCGAGGGACCCTCCTTGCTTGCCCGGGACGCCCCAGAACTTCTTCCTCCCGGCTGCATCTTCCCCTGCCTTCCTGCCCTTCCCAGGGGTCCTCCGAGGCCCGGGCCGGCCGCTGCCTGCCTCCCCGGCTCCGGGAAGCAGCTGAGACGGAGGGGGGGGCAGATCCGGACTCAGGAGGGGCCTCCCTGCCCGTGGGGACCACTCTTCGGGAAACTGTGAGGACTTGTTCTGCTTCCCCCAGTCTTCGGGACCAGGTTTGCACCGAGGCACATGCACCTTCTCCTGAGCACCTAACCGCACTGTCACGCCTCCCTCGCCCAGGACTTCCGGCCCCACCTATTCTCAGGCATCCAGGCTCCGGGCTGGAAACTACTAGATGTTCCATCCCAGAAGCGGAGGAACCAAAGGGCAGCCCTCCTCTGCCAGCCTCCGCCCCGAGGGACCTGGAGGGACAGAGAGGTCGGAGCAGGCACTGATCACAATGTAAATTATTCGGTTTCGCTCAGATTTCTTTTGTAATAAACTATTTTTGTACCATATCCCTTGCCTTGATCTGTCCTAACCGGGTGCGCCCATGGGTGACTTTGTAACATATTCTGCTGGGGAAGAGGGCTCAGGCTGGTAACCGCGATGGAGTTACTGGGGCGTCGCGACATCTTCCCCTTGGATGGTTAGGGTCCAGAATGCTCTGGCTGTGGCCGTTTCTGAGGAACTCTACCATTTACGTGTCACTCTGAAGAGGACATGCTCAGTCCTGATGGAACTTGAGCTGGACTGAACTCTGGAAAGGGAGCTCCCCTTTTCTGAGGAAAAGGGCTTGAAGGGTGAGGGGAGAAGGGATGAGGCCACAACAAGGATGTAAAGGGAATATATATATATATAATATTATATTATATTATACTATTCCTATAATTTAAAAAAAAGTATGTATAGCCAGGTGTGGTGGCACACGCCTGTAATCCCAGCAGAAGCAGATGGAGCTCTATGAGTTCAAGACCAGCCTGGTCTACAAAGTGAGCCCAGGACATCCAAGGCTACACAGAGAAACCCTGTCTCAAAAAACAAAAAAATTAAACAAATAAAACCCACATTGTATAATTACATAAAGTATAATAGAATATATAAAATATACACCACAATAAATGTATGTAACACAATGTTTATATGTAGTGTGTGTGAACATTAATGTGGAGTCAGAGGACTCAGTTCTCACCCCATCCTGTGAGCTCTGGGAATCAAACTCTGGGCCCCAGTCTTGGCAGCAAGTTCCTTTACCTACTGAACCATATCACCATCTCTAGTCAGCCCCCATTTTAATTTGTGTTTTGGTTTTGTTTTAGTTTTTATTGCTATTTTATTCCCCTTGGTGTTCTGCCTCCGTGTATGTTTGTGTGAGGGTGTCAGATGTCCTGAAATTGAGATTATAGATAGTTGTGAGCTGCCATATGGGTGCTAGGATTTGAACCTGAGTCCTTTGGAAGAGCAGCCAGTGCTTCTAACCATGAAGCCACCTCTCCAGCCCCTTGGTTTTGGTTTTATTTTTGTTAACTTCTGTTTGTTTTATCTGGGACAGTCTCCTGTAGTACAGGCTAGCCCCTAGCTGACTACATGACCAAGGGAGAACATGAACTCTTGACCCTCTAATTCTCAAGTCCTGGGACTATAGTCTTGCAGACATATGCCAACATACCTGACTTGTTTTTTTATTCTTATGTATGTGTCCATGTGTGCCTGCCTGAGGTCATGTGTGGCATGTGAGGTCAGAGTGTCAGATCCCCTAAAACTGGAGTTGCAGGTAGCTGTAGGATGCTTAGTGTGGGTGCTGAGAAGCAAACCTGGATCCTGTACAACAGCAGTAAGTGCTCTAAGCCCGGGTGGAGAGTGTTGAGACAAGGTCTAACTGTGTAGTCCAGGCTGGAACTCACAAGTAGGCCAGGCTGGCCTTGAACTCGCAGAGCTTCCCCTGCTTTACCTCCCGAGTGTTGGAATTAAAGGCAGGAGGCACCAAGCCCCTGTTCCTTAGTTTGGTGTGGAAGGGGGGAGGCGGCTCACAGACTGGGGAGGGGTGGCCCAGACTGGCCCTTCCCCCTGCCTCGCCCTCCTGAGTGCTGATATTTCAGGCGTGAGCCTCCACACTTGACCAAGGATATGGCTATTTGAGGGGGTCTCTATCCAGCCTGCCATGATCAGAGAGACACACGGGTGTGTAGATGGCTCTGGGCAACAGGGTGCCCGGCCCCCAGCCTCTCCACAGGATGTTTGCACGTACTCAGCTCCCGACGCCAGTGTTTCTGGTGCTGTGGTGTTCTCTGCAGCTAGAACAAATAAGGCACAGACTAGGTGCCTTAAAATCAGAAAAAGGTAAGCCTGTCACCCTAGCACTGATACTGAAACACAGAAGCACCATGAGCTGAAGGCCAACCTGGGCTACGTGGGGAATTCCAAGCCACCCTGGGCTGCACAAGATCTTGTCAAAATAAAATAAAGTAAAATCCAAAAAAAGAGGAAGAGAGAGAGAAATGAAAAGACAAGAAACAGAAATTTGTCCTTTTCCCTAGAGGGCAAAAGTCTGTCGCTGTCACAGGGTAGTGCTCCCTCCGAAGCTCTAGGGAGGATTCGTCCTGAAAAGAAGAGGGGGGTGGGTAGGTCTGTGATTCAACGAGATCTATCCCATGCAGTGCCAGCTTTGGGCAGCCCCAGGCAGTCCATCCAACCTCTGCCTGGTAAGGCTGTGTGCCCACCCCGGCCAAACCTCTCTCCCTCTCTCCCCCCACCCTCTCTCTCCTGCCTTTTTCTTGAGATTCTCAATGTATTTCAGACTGGCCTTGCTCCTCCTGCCCTTCCCTCCAGAGTTTCAGGGTTACAGCCTGGCCAATCACTGCACGGGGCTGAGAGCCAGTTCTGAAGTGGACCCTCAAGAACCATCGAGTCTTTGAGCTGAGGGGAAGTGAGATGAGATGATGAGGTCTGAGAGGAGGACAGTAGCTGAGTTTTGTGGGGCTGGAAGCCGGGAGTTGAGACGGGGTCTCCGTAGCTCATGGTAATTCTTTTTCCCCTGGCAAACCCTAAGATCACAGTGCGTGCTGCCGGGTCCGCTGAAGCTTTAATTCCAGGGACGTGGCAAGACAAACAAACAAGTAGTTTCTCAGGAGTTGGCGGTTCACGCCTGTAATCTTAGAGCTCTGAAAGCCGAGGGCTGTGCGTGGAAGCCAACCTGAGCTACATGGTGAGACCTTGTTAGGAGAGAGGGGGAGGGCTGGAGACCTGATTCAAAAGGTTAAGAACCCTGGCTGCTCTTAAAAAGACCCGGGATCTGTTCCCAGCACCTACACTGTGGCGTCTAACACTCTAGGTAGGTCCTGGGGATCCAGTGCCCTCTTCTGGCCTCCTTGGGCACTGCATGTGGTGCACAGAAATTCAAGCCGACAAAACACTCACAGATGAAGTAAACACCCACGCAGATGAAGTAAAATTTTAAAAGGAATACAGAAGGTCCGACTTGGTGGCACACGCCTTTAATCCCAGCGTCTGGGAGGCAGAGGCAGGAGGATCTCTGTGACCTTGAGGTCAGCCTGGTCTACAGAGCGAGTTGGAAGTCCCCCACCACCACGGAGAAAGAAGGGAAAGGGAGACAACACAACAAAAATAGGAACAGATGAATGTAAAAAAAAAAAAAAAAACAAAAAACAAAGTAACAAAACAAGACCAAATCCACACACCGCATGCCTCACACCAAACCTCACATAGCCACACCCAACAAACACCTCAGCCGGAAGGGAACCGGAGTTCCTGAAGGAAGCTTTGGTTTATTTATCTGTGGAAATGGACAGCCGCTGCGCATGTGTGACAGGGCAGAGGACGAACCGGAGATGGCATGGTTGTCTCCACTGTGTGGGTTCCAGAGACCAAACTTGGGGAGTCAGGATCTGTAGCCCCGGCTGGCCTTGAACTCACAGAGGCCTGCCCCTGCCTCCTGAGTGCTGGGATCAAAGGCCTGCGCCACCATATCCCGCCTAAGCGTCTTTTTCTTTACTAGGGAAACTGAGTTTTCTCTTGGAAGTGCACACCCAGGGAGAACCTACACACTCTATTTCTAAAGGAAAAGAAGAAAACAGACCAAGGAGACGGCGCAATGACAGCAAGGCGACCTGAGCTTGTCCCCAGCACTGCAGAGAAGAGCATTAGCGTGTCGCACACCTTTCACCCAGCACTGTGGGTGTGGGGAGAGGAGGACCAAGGTGATTGTTGCCTACGCTTTGAGCAGGGGGCCAGCCTGGGCTTCAGGAGACCTCTGCCCCATTTCAAAAGAGTGAAGAAACCAAGGGTGTCACACCTGACCACACAGTGGAGACAACCATGCCATCTCCAGTCACATAGGCACAGGGCTCCTCCATCATGGCCAGTGTGACTTCCTCACCCCTCACGTTCTCCGCCATGAGAGTGGCTCAGCAGACTGCGGCTGATGAGAAACCGGGGTTCAATGGCTGACCTTAGCAAGCCAGTTCCTTAAAACAAAGTCTGGCTCCTCCGTGCATGGGAATCCCCACTGTGGCCGTCCTGGCCTTGGGACTGGGCATGTGTCCTTTCACGGCCCCTGGAGATGGGCAAAGCCAGACGGGGAGAGGGGTGGGGCCCTCCGTGGGGTCTCCAGTCTGTGACTTCGAAGCTGTGGCCAAGTCCACAGTCAGGGCTTCAGCACCTTCCTCAGGGCCACGGGGAATAGTTTAAAAATGCCATTTGTTCTCGCTACCCTGTACACACCTAGACACATGAGCCCGAGGCTGCCAATTCCTATGTGTTCGGTGGAACTTCAAAGATCTGTTTCTATTTCTATGACTGTGTGGGTGTCTGAGCGTGTGCCACACGTGTGCGGGTGGCCAAGGAGCCATGAGCTTTAGGCGTGTTTGCACAGTCTCGCAGATCCATCTGATGCTCCACAGGTTGAGCCGCTTGTATCGGCACACACCTGTGAGCCCAGCACTCAGGGGGCTGAGGCTGGAGGCTTTTGCACTCAAGCTTAGCCTGGGCTACAGGGTGAGGCCAAAATGAGAAGCAGGGAACAGAGGGATGGGCAGGATGGCTCCGCAGGTTGACGGCCTGACTTTGCAAGCCTGACAGCTGAACTCCAATCCTACAGCGCGTGCACACACACACACACACACACACACACACACCACCAAATTCAGGACCAGCAAGATGGCTCATTTGTAAAGAAACTTGCCACCAAGCCTGAGGAACTGAGTTTAATTCCCACGGGGTAGAAAGAGAGAACCAACTCTTGCAAGTTGTCCTCTGGCCACAGTGGCCACATGTGCACTGTGACACGGACGGACGGACGGACGGATGGACACACAGGCAGACAGAAGGATAGACAGGTGCACAGAATGACAGGTTGATAGATGGATGACAGACAGACAGACAGACAGACAAGCAAGCTGGATCTGTAACCCCAGCATTACTAAGGATGGGAGTCAGAGGGAGAAAGGATCTCCTGGAGGCCTGAGCTCGCCACCTCGCGGTGGCACCTGGCACAGCAGTGGAGACAGGGGACTGAAGGCACGACGCTCTGACTGCCACACACACACACACACACACACACAACACAACACAACACACACACAACACGCGCGTGAACACAAGAAAGGGAAAGGAAGGAAAAGAAATGGAAAGAGGAAACTGAGGCGCAGAATGGGAAGATAGTGGTTTTCTAAGTCCTCACCATTTTTTGAGAGTTGTTCTTTTGTTATGTGGGGCTCAGCAGAAAGCCCAGGGTTTTTGTTGTTTGTTTGTTTGTTTTTGGAAAGGGTTTCTCTGTGCAGTCTTGGCTGTCCTGGACTCTCTCTGTAGAGCAGGCTGGCCTGGAACTCAGAGACCTGCCTGCCTCTGCCTCCTGAGCGCTGGGTGAAGGTGTGTGCCATCACCACCCAGCAGCCCAGGGTTGGGGTTCTGAGTGTATAGGGTTTCTAAATCTGGGCCAGGGAGATGCTCAGTGGGAAAAGACAGGTGTCATAAAGGCCGCCGAGTTCAGATCCCCGACCCCACAGGGAAGCATTCGGAACACTGCTTCCTGTCAGCCACAACACAAGCACAACTTAGTATTTTCACAGGGATTAAATGTGCATGTCTGCTCTCCTCTGAGGCCATACAGGGAGTTGGTGTGTGTGTGTGTGTGTGTGTGTGTGTGTGTGTGTGTGTGTGTGTGTAAGCACCTGTGTGAGTGACTTACTGCTTCAGGGAGGAGGGGGAGGGAGAGTGCTCTAGGCAAGGAAGGCATGGTGGTGCACATATGCCAGCATTTGGGAGGCCGAGGCAGGAGGATTAAGAGATCAGGGCCAGCCTTGGCTATATTTAGAGAGGGTAGCTACATAAAAAGAGGGTGAGCCAGGCAGCTGTGGCACACACTTTTAATCCCAGCACCGGTGAGGCAGAGGCAGGAGGATCTCTGTGAGTTCACGGCCAGCCTGGTCTACAAAGGCTACACAGAGAAACCCTGTCTCCAACACCATAAAAATAAGGCAGGGGGCATTACCTTCGGAGAGAAACCTGAACCTGGGGTGTGAGCAAAGGTTTCGTGTGCTCCTGTTTATGCTCAGACTCTGCACAGCTGGCAAAAACCACACCCTCCACATGAGGCAGTTTCCAGCTGACAAGATCATGTGCCCTCGAATGAGGCTGTCATCAGCTGTGGATAAACAGCCTTCCAGCATCCCACACCTGGGATTACAACAAACCATATTTATAGAACAGAACCGATTCTTTTTGAATAAACCAAAACTTAATAGATTTTGGGTTTTGTTTTGTTTTGAGACAGACAGGGCTTCTCTGTGTAGCCCTGGCTGTCCTGGAACTCGCACTGTAGACCAGGCTGGCCTCGAACTCAGAGATCCACCTGCCTCTGTCTGTTTAGTGCTGGTATTAAAATTGTGTGCCACCACTGCCTGCCTTTCTGGTTTTTTTTTTTTAATAATAAATTTCATTTTAATAAAATATAGAAAAGGATGGCTGGGGTAGTAGCACATGCTTCTACTCCAGCACCCAGAAAGCAGAGGCAGATGGATTTCTGTACCTCTGTAAGCATGAGGCTAGCCTGGGCTACATGGCAGGTTCTGGGCTATAATAATGAGGCCCTGTCTCAAGAGAAAGAAAAGAGAGAAGAAACTTATTACCGTCTTTCCTGAGATCCTCCAGCTGGTGCTAACAGGAGCCTCTGCCTCGGGAGTGCTGAGATTAAAGGTGTGCACCGCTAGTGCCCGGCTTTTATTATTTTTAATTATTTATTTTTTAATACTGTGCCAGGTATGGCTTCACACGCCTTTAGTCCCAGCACCTGGGAGGCAGAGGTAGGCAGCTCTTTGTGAGTTTGTAGACCAGCCAGGGCTATATGGTGAGACCATCTCTAAACAAAACGAAACAACAGATTATGTGTGTGTGCGTGTGTGTGCGTGTGTGTGTGTGTGTGTGTGTGCGTGCGTGCGTGCGTGCGTGTGTGTGTGTGTGTGTGTGTGTGTAGGTGTGTGCAGGGTGCCCCAGAGGACAGAGGCCTCAGGTCTCCTGCATCTGGAGTTACTGGGAATGGTGATGAGTGTTGGGGAATGAACTCTTCAGCACCGAGCCCTCTCTCCAGGCCCAGCCTATCTTTTGTTGAAAGCAGAGTGTGGGGGGATGCAGGCAGTGCTTGCTACCTCACCCCAGCACTCTGAAGCAGACAGGACTGTTACCGAGGTAACTTTGAAGCCATCCTGGGCTATGCACTGAGTTCAAGGACAGTTTGAACAGAGAGGGTGGGGTTGGGAGGAAAAGGGGGGGGGAGAGAGTCAGCGAGAGACACAGAGACAGAGAAACAGACAGAGTCAGAGAGACAGAGAAAGAGACAGAGACACAAAGACAGAGCCAGAGAGAGAGAGGCCTTAGAGAGAGAGACAGAGAGCTAGCTTGCTGAGCGCCCTGGCTGCCCTGGGACGGAGAGAACCACGTCCACGGCGCCCTCTGGCGGTTGCTTGAAGCACAATCAGGACGGACCCTAAGGTCCTGCCGCCTCCTCCAGCCCTGTGCATTCCTGAGCGTGGCTTTCCGCCACAGCCTTTCCACATCTTTTGAAAATCTGGAGGGCTGGAGAGATGGGTCAGAGGTTAAGAGCACTGGCTGTTCTTCCAAAGGTCCTGAGTTCAACTCCCAGCAACCACATGGCGACTCACAACCATCTATAATGGGATCTGGTGTCCTCTTTTGCCCTGCAGAAAACTGTATAAATAATAAATAAATATTAAAAAAGAAAGAGAGAAAGTCTAGGTACTTGAACTGCAACTTACTCTTCCTTTCCCGCCCTGGAACCCAGAACTCCAGTCCTTCTAGTACCTTCCCTCGGGGACACAGAGTAACTTGACCCTGTTCTTAGGGGCCTTGGCTCTCTCACCTTTGATTCCAAGCCAGGTGTCAGCCACAGTCCGGGGAGGGGTGCTGTGCCCCAGACCTCCTCCCTGCGGGGTGTGGAGAGCCAAACTTCCGGGAACACCCTCCTCACCTGCCAGCCACCTCTTTTTTTCTCACCCCAGTAACTTCAGCCTCCAGCCCTGCCCCCTCAGATCGGTCCAGCCCCAGCTCCGCCTCTTCCTTCAGCCTCTCCAGCCCGGCCCCTTTAGGGCTGCAGCCGCTGCTCCCTCCCTGTCCTTCCCTAGAGCCTTTCCGGCCCCACCCTCTATTCCAGGCCCCGCGAGCGTGGTAGCGAGAAGAGCCACCCACACTCAGCCGGGCAGTGAGGTTGCTACAGCGCCTGGAAGAGCCCTGCAGAGACCCCAGGCTGGGCAAGGGACCCCCATCGCTGCGGGACCTGATGCCCCGCACAGCACAGCTACTTGAGAGGTGGCAAAAACCCGACGAGAGGCTAGGGGAGGTCCCAGTGGTCCTCTACCTGGTCAATCTGGAGGCCAAAGGCAGGCAGGTGGCCAAGCTTCCTCGGACCCAGGTATCCACACCCCAGCCCTCCTCCCTAGTCCCAGGAGTCCAGGCCCCTGCTCCCTCAGACCCAGGAAAACTGAGCCACCCCATTTTTTTCCTCTCTTAATCACTGGTACCCCCAGACCCCCTTTTTTCTTGCACCGTGGGTCTCCCCTAGAGGCCTCTTATATATACTTCCTACTGTGAATGTAGAAATCACAGAGATTTCCTGTTGGGAGGGGGGGAATTAATGGACTCACCCTTCCTGCCTGAGGACTAGGCCAGCCCAGGACCTGCCTGGGTTCTGTGGTGGGTTCTGTGTCAGTCCCTGAACCAAAGCTAAGGACCTTGGACATGCCTGCCCTCTCTCCTGAGAGACAGCTGCCCAGGTGCCAGGGAGAACTAGAGTCTGGACCTCACAGCAAGGTCTAAACAGGTGGCCTGGCTCCCTAGCCTTAGCAGTGGCTTGCCTGGCTTTTGATGAAATGAAAGATGCCACCTGTCTGTCCATATTGTTTAAATTGCCATTATCCCCAAATTATAACTGCTGAAAGAAATACTGTTCAAAATATGTTGACATATACTGCATGAAGAAGCAAAAAAATTCCGTTTGTTTGTTTGTTTGTTTGTTTGTTTGTTTGTCTGAGACAGGGTTTCTCTGGGTGGCCTTGGCTGTTCTGAAACTCTCCTGGAATTCACAGAGATCCATCTGCCTCTGCCTTCCGAGTGTTGAGATTGAAGGTGTGCACCACCACTGCCTGAGACCACCAGGCTTGGCCCCACCCCCACCCCCAAAAAAAGTCATCTGTCCCAGGAACTAGGCCATAGGTCACCAATTCCAGAAACAAGGTCATAAGTACAGGACAGCCTTTATCCACAAGAATGGGAAGGTATCTTATCTCAGGGTGGGGCATCTGTGCTTGGCAGCCCACCAACCTTGTAGTAGAACATTCATGGCACAAAAATTACCTAACATTCCTGAGACAGTTATGTTAGTTAACCAGTAACTTTGAAACAAGCTTGCCCTTGCTGAATGTCACCCTGGGAATTCATCTGGGACGTCATGTAACTTACTAAGCTGGGAATCCCCAGTCCTTCCCCTATAAAAACCCTGCCATGGAGCTGCTCAGAGCTCTCCTCTCTGATTTACTGCATTGGTGATGGTGGAGAGGCTGAGCCTAAGCCCAAATAAAGCTTTTAGCTCTTGCATACATGGTCCAGCTCCTGGTGCTCTTTGGGGACCCTAAAATCTGGGCATAACACTTCCCAGCTGCAAACTTTTTTACCACATCCATTTATCTCTCACTCTCTGCATGCACACACAGGTTAATTTGGGTTTTTTTTTTTTGGGGGGGGTATTGGTTTAAAGGTTAAAGCATAAGCTTGAACAAAGGTCAGCCAAGTGGAGACATGTCCAGCCACCTGCAGGGAGGAACCAGCTTTACTGCATTCTTTTTGAGCCCACTAGAGATACAGTTGCTAGGAAACTGGTGGCCAGGTGGCCAGGGCCAGAACTGTTTATGGACTTGACGCCTAAAGTAAACCAATAATTTCAAAAGTCAGTTTCCCTTACCCAATCATGTAATGTCAAGGCATGTAATAAGCCGCTTACCATTTTTTCCCTTTAAAAACCTTGCTTCCCCTAGACTGCTAGGCTGCATTCCTCTCTTGCTTCCACAGAAAGTTTTGTGACCCGGGCTTAAGCTTGTATCCAATAAACCCTCATGTGTTTTGCAGCGGAGTCAATTCCTGGTGGTCTTTGGGGGTCTCACAAACTGGGCATATTTGGGGGCTCGTCCGGGATCCCCTGACCTGGAGGGTCTTATGCCGGCTGGTAAGTGTCTATGTGTCTCTGTGCAGTGTCTGTGTGTGCGTCTACTTTCTGTCCTGTATTCGGAAAAATCCTCGAGATGTCCATATTTGTGAAGGTGGCAAGATGTGATTATAGGAAGATGTTCCGGACAATTACAGCCACTGAAGTCAGGAGAATGCCCCTGGATTCATCAAGTTTTTGATGGGCACTTGGGTAGAGTCACGCTGTCTGGAGGTGGTTCAGAACCACCCACGGGTCTGGAGCTTCTGTGGCAGGGAAACCAGAGCAGGAATCTGAAGTCCGTGGGTCTAAACTTCAATTGCAATATAGCTACACAGCCACACAGTCTGCATCTCTCTTTCCGTTTTATTCCTAGTGTTTACCTGTTTATGCTTTTGCCTTCCTTACCACAAGTGAAAGTCAAACGCTTGGTTCCTGTTTTGTTTTCGGTAGTGGAGCAGCTCCTTTCCTTGTGTTTGTGAATCTTTGTTTGTATCAGACTGTGGGACTGACGGGTGCACAGACAAACAGAATTCCTCTAATCTCTCCCTGTTCCTCCCAACCCTTCCACCTGAGTGCTGTTCCCTCTACCCTCATCCAGATAAGGCAGAATTGGAGGGAACGGGAATGTGCAGGTGGGGCCGGGGATGAAATTGCCCAGGACTGCTCCTGGCCAGCTAGCAGCTACTGCTGATCATGACAGCAAAGGCAGAGGGCCAAGGGAACCTGGCGGAACCTAAGGGAAATGGTCTGGCGGAATGACAGGCTGCCATTTCAGGCTCTAGTATAATTGGGTGGAGCCCGATTTCAGGGCAGGCCACCCTTATGGAACACAGCAGAGAGCCCATTGAGAGACAGACCACTATTTCTGGTTTCTCCTTCCTCTTCCTTTCTTTTTGCCTGCATTGTACCAGTACGCTGTTATCTTGTGTTGTTCTTTTATGGGTTTGTTGGTTTATGGTGGTCTCAGTAGGCAGGTGACTAAACAGCTGTGCACCATGGTGACTTTGCCTGCCCCATGCTCCCAGCGCTATAAGCTGGGGCACCTCTGGTCATTGGTTGGAGCATGCCTTCGGGCAGGACAGATGAAGAACTCCCAAGAGTCAGCCCAGGCTGAAGGGGCAAAGTGCTTGAAACCACAGCTGGAGAAAGTAAGGAAAGGTTTGTCTGTCTGTTTAAATGTATGTATGGCCATTACATGTTTATTTCTGACTGATCTTAAATGGTTAATATGCTCTGTATGTCTTCGTTATAGATTAACAGTTATTGGATATGTCTGAAGGTTAAATTCAAACTCTTGTTTAGAACATATATATGTGTGCATATGTGTTTGTAAGATCTATAGAAGCACAGATGTTTTTGAGTAGCAACCATGTGGCTTGCCATGCCATGTGATGTGACTTCACCATCTTCAACTTGCCTCGTGGTGTAGGGCAGAGCAAAGGAAAAGAAAGATTACAGAACCTCTTAGTTGTAATAAATTCTGTTTATGATCCTATTTTCTTTTAGACTGAGGAGACAAGTCTCATTTTAATTGGTATTGGTTTTAGAGATTGAATTGTTTGCACTGGTAAAATTTGTTTTGACTTTTAAAGTTATGGTTATGCTTTGTGACTTCACTCCTGAAAAGGGTACTATTTTGCTATTGCAAAAACAGGTTTTGGAGAATGTTTAAATGTTTAAGGCTATGAAACATTTTAAAGTTTATCAAGCATGTTAAAATAATGACCTTGGGCAGTCTAACAAAGAACTTGGAACAGTTTCTCAGCCCTTTGGGGGAGGACAAAAGACCTTGGTATTTTATTAATTTTGCCAAACCAAACCATACTGTTTGAGTCAATTAAGAAAATGGCAGTTTTTACAGTGTATCATGTCACGGTGGTAATAACCCATGGAATGACTTAGTAAAAAAAAAAAAGAATGAGAAATATTTTGATGGAAGTTTTTATGTATAGAAAGCCAGAGAGCATATGAACTGTATTTGCTTTGGTTTTTCATACCTGCAAATATGATTTGAGAAAGAACTGTAAAATATATTGTTCTTCATTTAAAAGGCTGGTGATTCTTCAATGCAAAATGTTTTCGTATGCTCTTCAAAGGGGGGAGAAAACTGCAGTTCCATGTCAGCCCAAGATTATACAGGGTTGTATTCAAGTCATTGTTAACTATTATATGAACTATATGCCTGACCACCAGTTCCTGAGTGAACGGATTAATGCTGTTCCTTTCTGGCCAATAGGTTTGGTATGGCCAGAATAGGTCAAGTGCAGTTTAATATTGTTCTGTGTTGTTCTGTTATGCAGTTGGTTCTAAAACTTATTTGATTACAATGTTAGAACTTTTGGTTATGGGAACCTGTAAATGAGCCACAGTGCTATACTGTGGGAGGTGGCAACACCATCAATGACACCTAATGGCTAGGTTTCAAATTGCCGGCCTCGGCCTGTAACAACCCGTGGCTAGCCCCCATGTTGGCTCAGGGGTAAAGAGGGTGGAACTATGGTTTCATCGCCATCTTTGTCAAGGGCTGCCGGCTGTGCTCAGTTCCCTGCTTGCTGCTTAGTGAAACTTTTGTCCTTTAAACTTTTTGCTGTTCAGCCTTAAAGCAATGTGGCAGGATCAGCAAGATTTGCTGGCCCCTCTGTAAACTGTATCTGACTGAAAGTTTTACTTTGATTTTAGTTCAGAAATATATTTAGAGTTATGCTAATGACTGCAGTTGCTTACAAGATTGAGTTTTACCTGGTCTTTTGTTTATCTTTCCAAGGTTAGGACTAGGATGGGTAACTATGATGTTTGCCCATGTAGATCTACTTAAAATAGATACAGTCCTAAAACACTTATTTAAGGAATATGCCAGAATTAGATATTATGACATTCTGTTTTACAGGATGTAATTTAGTGTAGATAACTAAAGATAGACAAAGAGTAACTCATATGCTGGCCCTCAGGCTTGTCAGAGATCTGATGAATATGGCATTTTAACATGTGTAAGCTTATTATGACAGAGTCCCAAAATCCTGGCAGAGCTCCCCAAGTTCTCCAAGAAGATTTGGGCACAATGCAAATCTGGATTGTGGCATGCTAACCACTGGGCAAGACTGCCCCAACTGGCCCATCGCTAGGACCCAGCCTAAACTGTGGACAAAGCTGTGGACACCTGGAGAGTCATTGTTTCACGTTGCTGAAGATGAGGTGAGGTCAATCTCTCGTGTTCCTTTCTCCACAGAAACAGTCTCGCATCTTCTGGGCCTGATGGCTGGACCACCTCTGCTCATAATGCCATGAGACCACAGGAGCCAGGGACACTGCCTAGTGGTGAACTGAGTAGTCATCACTGTCATTCTGATTGGTACATTTATTTGGCTTATAATTTATCCTTCTCAGGTCTTTGATCACATTGATGGCTAAGTGAAGCTATGGTAGCTTTGCAGCTGAAGAGCAGACAGATCCACTGTTAGTTCATTGGTCAACTTGTTAGCTAGTAAGGACTACTAGGTACTAGATCTCTTATTTAGAGAGGCAAAGAGGTTTTCCTTGCTCACAGGCTTCATGTTAATTGCCTTTTCTTATGGTGAATAAATGAATAAAAAGACGTAAAGTATATGTAGGGTCTGAGGATATAAAAGTTTAAGTTATGAGAATCTAAAAAGTATTGTTTAAGGGTCTAGGAAAATGTTTCGAAGTTGGTAAATGCAAGATAGATTGGAGGGTCTAAATAACTGTTTTAAGGAATATGAATGCAAGTTGTAATGATATAAGAAAATAATTTAAGGCATATGGGAAATATTTCAGATTTCCCCCCCCCAAGCTATGGTTGTGCTTATGTTATAAGATTTTAGAAGTTCAGAGTTTTGACACTGATCAGTAGAGTTCTGATAAGCTGATGGAGCACTGACTGCTTATTATACAGTCACCAGCTTGAGATAGATTTAAAAGTGCTTCTCACCATGCTAAAAACATTTGTCTAATGTGTATATCTGACCCAAAAGTCATAGCTTTTATTTTTACTAGGTCTTAATGGCATGAGTCTACTTCTGCTGTCTTGTAGACACCTGTTACTGGCTTTTTCTAAAGTATGGCTCTCAATACGATGGTAATACTAATATACTTCCTTTTGTAAACTAAAATTCATATGAATTTCAGAAAACCAAAAAGTCAGATGACCTGGATCTGCCATAGCTCAAATGGACCCCAGATGATTTTTTTCTCTTAGTCTTGGGATTCCTCACTTTCCCCATTTACTAGACAAATTTTAACCTCTGTCTCTAGTCTGAATTTATCTCAGCAGATTTCACCTGACAGAATATATTCGGGGATCAGCTATGGACTTCAAGCTGAGATCTGGACTTGCTGGTAGCTGAAGTAAACCAGTCCAGCTGATGTGATTGCTCCCTGCCTTTTCATGTGGCTTAACCAACCAGAAGCTTCTGAGGACTGCCCCATTGCCCAGCCTTTGGTTGGCATTTCAGCCTTCCTAGCCCCTGATGCCAACAGTCCTATTGTCAAACTGAAGCAATTTCAGAATAAGAGCTCTTTAATCCCAATCCCACCTGGCAGGCTGAAAGGCTGAGTCAAAAGGGGCTCCCTGACATTAGCTTTTATTTTAGAGCTAGCTGGAGTAGGAACTGGTATTGCAGCATTCGATGTACAAAGCCAGAATTATAACAGTTTAAAGGCAGATATTGATAATGATATTCAATGTTTTGAGAACTCAATCACCCATTTAGAAGAGAATGTTGATTCTCTGGAAGAAGTAATGTTGCAAAACAGAAGGGGCTTATATCTGTTGTTTGTACAGCAGGATGGGCTATGCAGCCCCTGGGAGAAATGTTGTTTTTATGTAAACCAGTCAGGAATGATTAGGAAATCCTTAGCAAAAATAACAAAAAGCCTGGAGAGTCACTGGCAAGAGAGGATTCCAGAGGATGGTTTAAATCCTGGTATAATAGTTCTCCTTGGCTCACTACCCATATATCCACCATGATGAGACCCCTACTCATTTTGATTTTTACCTTTGAGCCTTGTATTTTAAATTGTTTGATGGCTTTCATGAAAGAAACTTGGGAGGGATACAGTAATGGTACTCAGATCCCATTGTGGAAAGGTAAATCTGGAGGACTCCAGGGGTCATATCTGGAAGACCCAAGATTGGGTTTCAAATGATCATGGGAATGGAGGAATGAGAGACCAAAGAATTGAAAATTAGGTGGGTTTTTGTTGTTGTTGTTGTTGTTTTTGGTGGGGGGGTATTAGTTTAAAGTTTAAAGCACAAGCCTGAACAAAGGCCAACCAGGTGGAGACATGTCCAGCCACCTGGAGGAGGAACCAGCTTTACTGCATTCTTTTCCTGCCCACTAGAGATACAGTTGCTAGGAAACCGGACCAGATGGCCAAGTCAGAACCGTTTATGGACTTGACTCCTAAAGTAAACCAATTATTTCAAAAGTCAGTTTCCCTTACCCAATTATATAACACCAAGGCATGTAATTCCATGCTTGCATTTTTTTTTCCTTTAAAAAACTTGTTTCCCCTAGACTGCCAGGCTGCATTCCTCTCCTGCTTCCACAGGAAGTTTTGCAACTCAGGCTCGAGCTTATAGCCAATAAACCCTCATGTGTTTTGCAGCGGAGTCGATTCCTGGTGGTCTTTGGGGGTCTCACAAACTGGGTATAACAAGGTCAGGGCCAGAAGACAGGCAGCCAGTGTTCTTAACAGCTGAATCACCTGCAGCCCCAGTTGTTACAATTTTTGTTGATTTCTGTCAACCCGCCTTGTTTCAAGCCGGTTATATTCCACGATTAAAGCACCTGCTTGAGAGATGGCTTAAAGTAGTGGTTCTCACCCTGGGGTCCAACCACCCTTCCACGGGGTTGCCCCAGACTGTCAGACATTTACATTATGACTCATAACAGTAGCAAAATTACAGTTAGGAAGTAGCAATGAAAATAATGTTACAGTTGGAGGTCACAGCATGAGGAACTGTACTGAAGGGCAGTGGTGTTAGGAAGGTTGAGAATCACTAGCTTAGAGGTTAAGAGGTTTACCACTCTAGCAAAGGACCCAGGTTCGCAGCACCCAGGATGGATGGTTCATAATCACCTGTACCTCCAGCTCCAAGAAATATGACACCCTCTTCTGGCCTCCTCAGAAATCCACACTCCTGCACATATCTACACACACACACACACACTTAAAAATAAAAATAAATCTTACGAAAAAGAGAACAGTGTGCTACTCTAGGCTGATCGTGGTAGCAGAGGCCTTTGACCCCATGAACTCGGGAAGTAGGGGCAAATGGATCTCTGTGGGTTTGAGGCCAGCTTGGTCTACATAGAGTTCCAGGGCATCTGGAAATTCACAGTGAGATCCTGTCTCAAAAAAGAAGGAAAAAAAAAAGGATAAAGAAAAGAATGTGCCTTCCAGTCTTCACCAGCCAGAGTTGCTGGTGACAACCTCATTGGGCTACACAGCTCTACATTCTGGGAAGCCATTTTGCTAAGAAACTGTCAGGAGCCCTACAGACCTGAAAGAAGCTATTAATATAAACGAGAAACATAATAAAAACCAGCATGCAATCAGTGTTAACCAAATATGATATGCAGATTTTGTTTGATTTTGAAATGCTGGGATAGAACCCAGGACCCTGAGCATGCTAGCCTAGGGCTCTGCCACCACTGAGCCATGCCCCCAGCCCCTCACTGGGGGATTCTAGGCAGGGGCTCTACTGCTGAACCACGCACGCCCTGAGCTGTACCGTCTCTGTGCTCATTAAGGCATGGCCAAGACCCTCATTGTTCTCCAGTGTTTCGGGAGCTGAACTCGCATGTTTATTTCCACATCACAGGTAAACAACTGAGGAGACTGGGGAAAAAAAAACATTTTTAAACAATTTTCCAATATTTTCATAGCTGTTGCGTGTCAAAAACCCTTTACTGCTCTCTAAATCCTGATCTCAATCTCAGGGCAGCCAACACACCCACTGGCATGGAAGACACTTCTGGGCATGCGCTGAATGCAGACTGCAGGCGGTTCGTTTCCGCCATCTCAGTGAGGGAGGCTTCTCCAGCCACAGCAGACGCTGGGCCTCTGCTGTGCCGGCTGGAGGTTTGGAGAGTATCTTCCACACTTCCTTTACAGATGAGGAAACGGAGGCTCAGAGCGGAGAGGCCTCAGGACCGAGACGCCTTTGGTGCACTGATTCGCTAGAGGAACTCTGGGACGTCGCGTCTGTAGGGACTCTCCCTACCTCCAATGCGACGCTCAGTTTTCCTGCAGGCGACCGCTGGCCAAGCTGGCCCTCATCCTCAGTCACATGCACGCAGAGCTGAGCCCCCTCCTTCCCTCGGGAAGTACCAGCTCATCAAGGGATCCGCCCACACCTTCTGGAGGGGGCGCTGCGGCGTCCTGGGCTGCAAGTCCCTTAACGGCCCTGCGCAAGGACCCCACGTGGGGCGGGGGGGAAGAGCAGCCGCCTCCCTCCAGCCACAGCTGGAGCTGGACCTCCTCCAACCTCACCTCTCACCTTGGCTACGTGCTGTCTTTGAGTCTGACATCTTCACCAGGCTCTTCCAGGGCAGGGAAGGTCAGGGCCCCCTGGGTCTGGGGGTGTAGACCGGGACTGAGCACAGTGGATCTGAGGAAAAGAGGCTGGGTCTGGACCGCTGAGTCCTGGGGAAGAAAGGCTGCGCGGCTTCCTGAGTACAGAGTATCCAGAGCCACCGCGGATGAGATCAGGGTGGTGGATTCTTGAACCCTAGGGTAAAGGCTACTTCCTTGGTTCCTTGGTGACCATCTCTGTCCCTCCCGGCCATGGCCCACCCTGCTCAGGAACTGGCAACCCCCAGCTGTCAACCGCCCTGCCTACATGGCCTTTCTGACGTTCGCTGAGGTCCAAAGATGCCTGCAGGCCTACAGGGACAAAGCAGGCAGGTGAGCGAGGCAGCGCCCCATGGGACAGGGCCGGGTGGCTGGGGGGTCCTGCCTGGGGTGTGGGAGACTACCTGAAGTCGGGAACTCTGCAGCTGTAGGCTGGCAGTGTTCTCCTGTGATTCCAGCACTGGGAAGTGGAGGCAGGAGGATGGAAAGCTCGTGGCCAGCCCGGGCTACCTGAGACACTGTCTGAAAAAAAAAAAAAAAGACCCTGAGGCATGCCCAGTACCCCTGCCTCTTCTCCTGGGGCCTCCTGGGTCACACACACACACACACACACACACACACACACACACACACACACACGCCCAGTAACTAAAGCAATAATATCTGGTCCAGCAAGGAGTTCTGAAGGCCCTGCCTGAGATACGTCCTCCTTTTAACAAGTTAGAGGCTATGCTGAAAACCCACTAAATGGTTTGTTGTGAGACAGGGCTCGCTTCAGCTTGACCTCAGACTTCACACGTAGCTAAGGATGACCCTTGAAACCCTGATCATCCTCCCTTTCCCGCCCCGACGGATGGGGTTAAGAATGCACTCAGCAGTTTGCCCCGGTTTGTCTGCTTCTGTTTTGCTTTTATTGAGACAGGGTTTCTCTGTGTAGCCCTGGCTGTCCTGGAACCTTCCCTGTGGACCAGGCTGGCCTCAGACTCTGAGATCTGCCTGCCTCTGCCTCCTGAGTGCTGGGATCACGGGCGTGTGACCCCACACTTGGCTGCTTGGATCTTATTGTGCTGAGGGTAAGTTGAACACCCACAGGCCAACCTGTCTGCAGGGGTGGGAAGCCTCTGGAAGGCAGGGGTAGCCTCGCGGCTAAGCTCCCCACTCCCTTCAAGCTGGGGGAGGGAGAGGAAGGAGGAAAGGGGAGGGCTTTGCCAGCGCGCCAGTCTCCGTCATTGTCAGTATGTCTGTCTCTATTTCATACTAGACATGCTGCTCAGTGGGAGGGTCCGTGTCTAGACGGGTCACTAGACAAGGTATCTTGTAGCCCAGGCTAGCCTTGATCAGCTGCTGTTCGGGGAGGGCAAATTATAAAAGTGAACAAAAGAACCAGAGCGTGGGATCCAGACGCGGGCGCGTCCAGGCCGTCAAGCCCTTTAATCGGACCCGGGGCTGGGCCTACCTTGCCTCTGCTCTTTCCTGCACTGGTCACCATCCCGCGGAGGGCCGTGCCGTCCAAAGCTGCGGCCCTTCACCCCCCCCCCCCCCCCCCCGGCCTGCGAGGTGGATGGGGAATCGGGAACGAAAGCGTGAGGTGAGAATGAAGACCAAGGGGAGCGAGCTGGGTGTTCCGGGGAGGGACGGCGGCAGCGACTCCCCGGCTGTGTGCAGGCCCCGCTGCGCTCCCCCGGGCCCTCGGGATCGTGAGCTCCGGGGGAAGCACCCTACAGACCACTCCTCTCAACAAACCCCTACTCCAGGGGTTCCTGAGAGGACAAAAGGAAGGCGTGTGAGTCCCCAGCCTGACGGGAACAGGGTGTCAGCAAAATCCGTTTTGCACGAGTCCCGGATTCGCAGAGGCGTGCTGCGGGGCGGACGCAGACCACACACCAAGCGGCCATGCCACCGTCTCCCAGCAGGGGGCGCCCAAGCTCTCCAGGCGGCGGGCCGCGCAGCGCAGCTCCTTCCTTGCCCGGGGCTCCATTGCCTGCGCTCCTAGGGGCTCTAGGGTCTAGGCTGGCAGAACGGGCACAGGGAAACAGCCGGGCTAGCGGGGTTTCACCTCTCAGCCCTCGGGTGGGGTGGGAGGAGAGCCGGCGCCTCTCTCTCTCACCCTTGCTGGTGACACTGCCTAGCCAGGCAAGGCAGGTGTGAGGCAGAGACAGAAAGAAACAGAGGAGGTCAGAGGGCAGACATGCTGCTTCCCAGCGTTCTCAGGGTCTCTGCTCTACAAGATGGCAAAGGCCTGGAATCACCACAGAACTGTCACTCTCGTGGAACAGGCGGCCTCCTGTCACCTTCATGGCCGTCACGTTCTTTTTTTATGTTATTTATTTGATTAGAATTTTGGTCTTTTGTCCTTTGTTTTGAAAATGTATTGGAGTGGGGTGGGGGGGTGGGGTGTAAGTATTCAAGGCATAGGAGGATCCTGAGATCGGCGTTATGTTTTTTTAATTAATTTCTTTTCTTTTCTTTTCTTTTATGTGCATTAGAGTGAGAGGGTCAGATCCCCTGGAACTGGCAATACCCACAGTTGTGAGCTGCCATGTGGGTGCTGGGAATTGAACCCAGATCCTTTGGAAGAGCAGACAGTGCTCTTAACCACTGAGCCATCTCTCCAGCCCCTGAGATCTGTATTCTAAGCTAAGCTAGACCCTATTTCAGAAAGAAAAAGAAAAAAAAAAATGTATGGCTCAGTGGTAGGTCTCCTGCCTAGAATCCCCCAGTGAGGTGCTGGGGTGTGGCTCAGTGGTAGAGCCCCTGCCTAGAAGCCCCCAGTGAGGGGCTGGGGGGGGGGTCAGTGGTGGAGCCCCTGCCTAGAACCCCCCAGTGAGGGGCTGGGGATGTGGCTCAGTGGTAGAGCCCCTGCCTAGGATCCCCCAGTGAGGGGCTGGAGTGTGGCTCAGTGGTAGAGGCCTGCCTACAATCCCCAGGACACACACAGGTAGATGAGGTAGGTGGGTCCTCCTGAGTCCAGCTACTCACAGCCCAACCCTATTATTCCCTCAGCTACCTCTACCCTGATGGAAAGAACCATGACCCAGACCTGACTGAGCCATGCCAGGCAGAACCCTTACCCTGCACCCAGGTGTCAGAGGTGAGTTTCACACTCACACCTGCTACCCAGTCCTTACTCCTGGCCCCAACTTGCCTCAGCTCAAAGAGCTGAGCTGTAGTGCTGGCTTGACCTTGAGCCAACCTTGGCTTCTCTGAGATGCTCTGAGTTCTTCCGCTGGGAACCATAGCCTCTGCAGCCTCCTTCCCAGGGGTTTTTCTTGGATATGAAATAAAGAAAAGAGCTTCTGAGATCATCAAAACAGCTGGTGCCTCTGAGTGTTTATCAGCTCTGAGTCTGAACAGACACCCAGCAGCAGGAGAAGAGCCAAGATGTTTTTCTTTTAGTTTTTAGGATGTAACCCAGGAACTTGTGCATGCTAGGCTAGAGCTCTACCACTGAGCCACACCCTCAGCCCCTCGCTGGGGGATTCTAGGCAGGTGATCTTCCACTGAGCCACACCCCAGCCCCTCACTGGGGAATTCTAGGCAGGGG